AGGCTGGGGGAGCCCCAGGACCCCAGGACCTGAGGAACTCACCTGCGTACAGCTGGGCCTTCCTCCAGCCTGGAAGGGAACACACAGGGGAGACTCAGCACAGCCACCTGGCATGGGGTCCCCGGGCCTGGGCTCCCCCTGTTTGGCAGGAGAGACTCTCTTGGGGGAGGGGAGAGGCTGAGGGTCATGACATCCTGCCCTGTGCAGATTCAGGGGTGGTAGGGATCCTGGCTCAGCTCAGGAGCGGGCAGGACACAGTGACCCGCCCTGCCTGCTGCTGGGGGCTTGGGCCAGGCTGGGCGGCTCTGGGCCCTCAGCCTGCAACGCTCCTGCTTCACCCGCTACTCAGTGTTGCTGCACAGGATCAGAAACAGTAAATGGGCAGATGTATTTTTAATGTATATATTAGTCCATAAGTATCATATTCAGTATTTCCTAGGAAATTAAAAGGAAGATGAAATCAAAACACAGCATGGACACCACACCAGCTCCAGGGGAGAGGGGCCTGCCTTTCTCAGATGAATAAACGCTCTCTGGGAGATGGAAAGTCTCCCAGCCCTGCCCATGCAAGGTCACCACCCCCCATCACTACTGATCAGCATCTTCAGAAGCAGGGAGAACAGACTCCCCTTGGGTGGGGTTTGGGGAGAGGGGCAGGAGGTCACAGTCTGAACGGATTTATAAACCCTTAGAGCAGCTGTTGCTTCCAGGTGCTGACCCAGAAGTAGACATATTACAGTCCAGAAAGCCAGCAGATGGTGGGAGGGGCAGGCCTGGATGATACTAGAGTGCAGGAGACCCCAGGGGTCACCAGCCTACACAGATCTCAAACAGTGGGTGGGAAAGAGCACCCAGACTGGGAGAGTTCATGGAACAGGTTACTGCTCCCACCAGCTCCCACTCCCACCCCAGGGAAGGAGCCATGTGTCTGAGCTTAGACTGACAAGGGGAGGGACCCTGAGCTTAGGGGGACAGAGACCTAGGGCCCCTGTGGCATCACTCACCAGCCAGGTAAGCAGCCTTCCTCTGGGCTGAAAGGCAACCAGGAGACAGGTGAGCTAAGGACCAGAATGTCTGCGATGAGGGGACACAGAGATCAGGAGGGAGACGGAGCTTACCTAGCATTGCCGGGAGCTCAGCTGAAAGAGTCAACAACAACAACAAAAAAAAAACAAAACATAAACTCAACCAATAGGAAGAAAACCTATTCTGTGTCCTAGAAATTCCAACTAGAGACTGGATTAGCTCAGTCTCCTCTGTCCTCTCTGGGATCCTCGTCACCTAGTCTGATGTCTCTGGATCTGCTCAGACATACGCTTGTCCCTCCTAGCCCCACCCACCCACTCCCCAACCTGGCCACTGTCCAGCCTCACTTGTGTCCTTCAGGGCCTCCTCCATGATCTGTCTGTCGTTCTCTATATCAAAGCGCAGAAACCCACAAATCCTCAGCCACTGTAGCTCCCGCAGCTCTCCCAGTTCTCGCATCATTCTAGAATGTTCTCTCCAGGTGCAGTAGGCAGACCCCAGGAGCAGGAGCAGCAGCAAGGGCAGGCTTACCAGGACAGCCGACTGCCAGGGGGAGACCCGGGGAAAGAAGGGCTCTGCAGAAAGACACCCACAGACACGCCATCAGGAACCCAGGAACCCCCAGCCCAGTTTCCTGGGGGTGCCAGACCCTCCCTCTGGCCCTGCAGGGAGTGGGAAGGGGAGGGGAGCAGCGCTGACCTGGAAGGACAATGGTCATGGCCTTCTCCTGGCCCA